TCGAGTTGGCAGAACTGCGAGAGCACCGTGGGCTCTTGCATCAACTCGATGAGGCTGTTGCAGACCGAGGTCACCAGACAACTGGGACCCTGACGCAGTAGCATTGTGAGGCAGAAGATGCTCTTCGGATGCTCCGCGATGGTGGTCCGAGCAACGGGCACTCGAGTCAGGCTGTCCAATGCCTCGATCGAGTTGCGTATGATCTTTTCGCTCCACTCCAGTCCGTTGAGCCGATCCGAGGCCGAACATGTCGGCCGGACGTAGGCGCAAATCGGAGGCGAGAGTTGACTGAGGATGCGCAACAAATGGTCAGTGGTACCGAGTCTGTGGAAGGCACGAGCGTTGTCGGGATTCTCTGCCAATTTGGCGATTACGCCCGTCAGACTGTGCAGATATTTGATCCTGTCCTCGGCGTGATCCAGGCTGTCACGCTCGTGCTGGATCAGAGACAAGCGTTTTTGACCTTTGTTCACGGATGCCCGGGGGCCGGTCACATGCACAACGGCCTTGACGACGCCACTCGAGGCCGTCCGGCCTGGCGTCAGAGGCTCCGTGTGGCCGTACAACTTGCCAACGGGCTCGTCTGACGTGAAAGGCAGAGCGAATCGAGTCCGTTTCTTCGTGTCCCCTCGCGACGGCTCAATGCTGGCTTTGGAGCACTTGAATCGGCCCATATCCTCCTGCGTCAGATCGTGCACTTGATCGGGACTCCGTGACAATATCAAAGCCAACGCACCGTCTGGCCGGTGCACCTCTTGACTGAGAAAGCCGTGCAACATGTCGATTGTGTGCCCCTTCATGAACGCCTTCTGGGCGGAATCCTCGGCCGAACAGCGGTACAGAGTGAGGGCGCTGTACGACTTGAGCAGAATGCTGGGCGCGCTCATCTGCCTGAGCAGAGTGGGCAACATCTCTTCGGCGGCGATGGCAACGCGGTACTGTTCGTCGGCCGAACAATTGTGCAACAGGCCTGTCAACGGAATGCGCACCTCGTTGGTGGCCACGTGGAGCAACGAGCGCAGGATACACACCAGTCCGGCGTGCAACAGAGTCTGCCGGTTGCGACGCGAACGACTGGCCCGCCAGAGGGCCGTTGCTATGGCCACCAAGAGGCTGTTTGCAGCTCCGTCCGAGGCCTCTTTGGCGTCACTGGGGCACCTCCAATGGGCGTGAATGCCGTTCTGTTGACTGCTGTTGGCCCTCGAGATGGCCCAATTCTTGACGCGAGTCTTCTCTGACTCGGCGTC